GTACCTACCTACCTATCTAGCAGGACCTTAGTGTAGCCTGGCCCACGATTGAGGGGAGCCCTGAGACTCACATGAGCGCCCCCTGGTCGGGTAGGAATACCTACAGGCTCCAGCGAGGGCCCGGAGCCCGGGTCGGATGGGCGTGGACGGCGGACGGTTTGGCGGAATTCACAGGGCGGGACCACTGAAAGGGAAAGACTGACGAATGATCCAATGGAACGTCGTCTTTTCTATGAAGGCTGGCATCCCCGCCCCCTACTCATTAAATTCATCAGCAAGGAAGGTAGGTACTCATGTCTTTTTTCCTTTTTTCCCCCCCCCCAGGGCAAGCGCGGCGAGCACGACGATAAGCGGAACCAACCATGCCCGACCGAGCGGCCATCGTTGAATTGCTCACATAATTCACTGGCTGGTTCTCCGAATCTCCCCTTATCACCTACCGTCTTGCTGGCTAGACAGCCCGAGAATGTACCTGATCATCGGACTCTGAGGTAACTTCAGCTTTGAGTGACACCGGCGTGCGGGGCGAGTTGCCTCATGGCCGACCGAGATTGTCTACCTTATGGAGAGATGCAGTCCCCGTAAGAAGCAACCACGCGGTTGAGAATCAGATCTAATAGCTCGCGACCGGCGTCGTAATCCATCGTCGTCGTCGTCGACATCATCTGCATCATCAAAAAAGCTCCTAAGCATGGCGCTTTATCGACTAGAGGCTCATGAGATAACAAATGCGCACTTGAGTTTTGGGGTTCTCTGTAACGCATCGGGAAAAGCTTCCAGGTACCGACCGGCCACGCCGCCAGCTTCGCACCCGCCACCGGCCGCATACGGCGGGCAGATACAGTTTTCTGGAAATCGCATGTCCATCTCCTGTTCTACCCACGGCATAGCTCCCGCTTCCTCACCGTCTTTTTTGATACTCTTGTTGCTCTCTACCCGGGTGCCTGGAACGGCAGCTGTCCTTCTCTGTTCAATCTTCTTTGTTGGCAAACCATGGCGCCTGTAAGGTACCTTATGAACCGACTCGGCTTTTGCTGTACAAGCCGAAGGCCTTGCCTGCCGAGTCCTGATTGACGTGCTGCCAGCTCGGGTCACAACCGTCCCACCATTCCCCGGGCACTCCAGGGCATGTTGTCAGCAGTCTGTGCTGGCGAACATGCATGATATGAAGGCAGCGGCACGTTACGGTAGGGTCGCGATACGGCCAGGCCGGTGCATGTAAAACAGGACAGCACAGACCGAGAAGGAGGCAAAGACGATCTAGCCAGACTACGACGGCAAGTGATAGGCCCGACGTGTGCGATACGTAATTGATGCACCGAACGCTGTGAAGTTGCCATTTTGTCGTTCCTAGCGGCCCTTGGCCCAGATCCCGTGCTCTTGTTAGACTTGCTTGTTTGCGATGCTAAAGTAACGCTAACAGGCAACAAAATAAGAAGGCCCCGGACTTGTGGCACCTCAGGCAAGTCAACAAAGTTCCGAGCGACCCTCGTCAATATCACCAGCTGCTTAACCGTTACGTCAATCCGGTAGCATGGCAAAAGCTTCTTGCGGCCATTTGGTTCTCAAGCGGGCACGCGATGGCCGTTCGCGCTGCTTTGTTGCTGGTCCGGTTTGATGTTGGCTGCCTACTCTATCCTTATCCTTAAATTATTGGATTGGTCAAGGCGTCGTGCTGTCGACGGCCGGGCTCGTAGTGGTGGTGATGGTGGTGGTGGTCCGATTGCAAATCTGCGCCTCATGGGCGGGATGCAAGGGTGCTCCCGTCTTCGCCTTCTCACATTGAGCAAGGCGTGAAAGGGGGGGGGGGGGGGGGTANGGGGGGGGGGGGGGGGGGGGGGGGGGGGGGGGGAGTATACTGTACGGGGCACTTTTTTCCCTACACCGCTACAGCTGAAGCCAGGAGGGTCTGTCGTCATGTCACTGCCGAGTAATAGTAAGTGAAGCTACTAGACATCTACCTCGTTGGCAAAACAAGCGCCAGGAACACCATCAGCATCAGCGTCAGTACCCCCCGTCATTCCCATTGCTGCTCCCTCGCTTCGGCGTCGCCATGATAATAAGTCCGGACGGGAATGTGCGAGACGGAATGGAACTTGGTGGAATGAAGAGGGGTCTTCAGCAATCGTCAGCAGCGGCACTTGTCCCAGATCCGATATGCAACGGTCCTTCTCCATGCCTCAGCGAGCGCCGTCTCCGTAGAAGGCGTCGAGGGCGAGGCTTGTCTCTGCGATCCCTGAAGAGCCAACCGGAGTAGTGAGGTCACAGGCTGAGAGACGCATAGACATCAGACACAGGCACAGACTGTATTAATCTACTCTGGCCACATCAGGCTAGCGTGTAGACATTCTCTTTCGCAGTTGAGGATGGGAAGGTCCAAGTGTCTTGTTCTTCTCCTCGTCAGACTGTGACTTTCCCTCCAGGGTCACAATGCCGATTGTCGAATACCCATTGCGACTCTTCGCTTCGGTCTTGGTCTCCCCGTGCCCACTGCTGACACAACCCGGCACAACACAACACAACCTACCAACCAACCAACCACAGGACAATGCCCTAGGTTAAGGACAAGAGCCCATGAACAAGGGGGGACAAAGAAGAGAAGAAAAAGAGAACTAGAACCACACTATCCCATCACCATTCATTGCTTGCTTGCTTGTTGGCATACTGCATCCTCTCAGACCCGCAGGGCCCTGCCCGACGCAGGCGATTGACGAAAGACGTCGTTGATATGCTTTGCCGCCGGCGCTAGCCTTTTTGTCCTGCAGGCTGCAGCAAGAACCACAAATCTGTTTTTACTTCATCTTGTCGCCGTGTGCCACGAGGCAAAGACCTCGAGTTTTCATACTTTTGGCGGCTGACCGGGCCACTGGGAGCCTTCGGAAAGCAACCCTCTACGAGAGCACTAAATGACGGCGCTCCGGTACCTTCGAGCTGTGTGCAAGGCATTACTACCAGATCCCGGACCAACAGTGGAAGTGCCTACCTCGCGATGAGATATGGCGGTACAAGCCGGACGGCTCAATCAACCAGCCCGGTCAGAATCCTACCACGATTAAGGTGGGTAAGATACCTTAGGTAATAGAAGCAAGTGGCGCACGGCCTCTGCTCCTCTCCTCTCTTCTGGGACTCCAGCCCGTCCAACAGCAGCGAGGGCTAGCGCTTTACTGATTGGCCGTGCGGGCGCGCCTTCCCTTGCCGCCTCTGCCATCTCAAATTGTAACAGCGCTTAAAAAAAATGACGGGAGAAAAACAACACGGGTATGGTCCATGGATAGTAGAGAGGGGAAAAGGAACAAGAGATCCAAGCACCTCCCTCCACCCGTCCGTCTCGTCTGCTTCAACCCAACCCCCCCCCCCCCCCCCCCCCCCCCCCCCCCCCCCCCCCCCCCCCCCCCCCCCCCTCCCCCCCCCCCCCCCCCCCCCCCCCCCCCCATTAGCCCGGGCCTTCGGCTTTTGTGCCGCCATCCACTGCTAAGCCTCGCCGACCATGTGTATTGCACATCTCTCTCAAGGGTCTGAGTCCTGATGGGCCTCCTCCTTTTCAATGTGCCCCCTTGTTTCTTAGCGCGTGCCCTCCTGATCCCCCACATCGAACAGGTGTGTGGCAGTGTATGAGATGAGCAGATGGAACCGCAAGAACGGTGAGAGTAGAGGGAGACGGTTGTCGCTGGAGTTTCTGGCTACCTTGCTTGCCTAAGGTAACCAGGGTCGCCAGTTTCGCACCTCAGATCCCAAGACTGGCCATCCAGGTGCGTGTTGTTGCGACAATTGCTTACAGGACGACAATGGAGCCCGCTTGCTGCCTCCTAGGTAGGTACGAATAGTTACTTTCAGCTGGGTCAACTGCCAACGCACCGAGAGTTCGAGGACCACCAAGTGGCGGCAGCAGCAGCAGCAGAATCACGCACATCACGTCTCATGCACACCACTAGGACAAACGCGCCCCACACCTCACAACACGCCGCCCAGCAAGCTCCTGTAGACTCGCCTTCATCGACCCAGCTTGGTTTCTGGCAGCGAAGCATGAGCGAAGCAATGATACCTGGTCGCTGTGCCTGGGAGCGTGCGTGCTGCCAACACGAATGTTTGAGATAACAAGCCTCCTGATCTTCTCTTGAATCTGACACTGTTCCCTACCTCAGCGTGTGGTCGCGTGAGTTGTGAGCGACTTCTGCTCCGCTTCGACACGTGTGCTGCCAACTGTATCCAATAAGGCTGAGCTGAAGCTCCGTCAACCTCCTCGAAAGTCAGTGTGGACGCATACGCCAGTCCCTAACACCTCGTCTGACAGCTCTTCGTCTTTGCAACAAGCTGCCCCGATGCGCAGTGTTCCAGAGAGACCCCCAAACCCAACCACCCCCACCACCGAGATCTGAGGAGATGCGGTCCGTGGACCCCTGTTCTCCGCCCAGAGGCTGGCAAGCCCATTCTTTTCATTACGCGCAGAAAGTGGGGCCTCTCGCTTCCAGCCTTTCCATCCGCTAAACAGCCCAATAGCCCAACAGCATGACAATCGCAACGTTTGAATTGTCAACCTTGGTTAGCCCGTCTGGTCCTTCAAAGGCACCTGTGTTTTCGTGTCATGATATGGGCAAACGAGCTGGCGGGCTGGCGGGCTGGTCAACCAGTCTCGGCAGCTCTAGATCACCTGAGTGGCATCGTCGCCTTCGAATGGGCCACCGCAAGCTTGGGGCTTTTTTCGTGACGTTTTTCTATGGTGGCAAGCTTCAATGTCCTTTGAGCTTCCTGGTACAGAGTAGGCGATAGTTCCTGATCGATATGTGGACACTATTGCCCTTGAGGCTGCTTAGAAAGATAATTGCAATGAGCATGGATAGCTTACTGACAACGCTTGCTGGGTTATGAATTTTCTGGTTTCGTACCAGAACGTGTGCTTTTAATGATACGCTTCTTCGGATTTTTGAGCCTCCATCCCTATTCGATGCTTGCTACACCATTCATCCATGCTGTCAAGATGCTGGTAGGCAATGCGCGGTTGTTTAATCGCCGCTAATCTTGGCATGTCTGAAATATTTCATACCGACCCAGGCCACAACCACCCACACCCATGCCATGATACATGTCAGGATGATGAGGGCTGGATAGTAGCCAACAATGGGCAGAGTTGGATCATCTTCAAGCTCCGGAGGGGCGTACGGCGTCGTCCCGACATCCCACGCCCAACTCCACATGCCCAGAACCGAGCCCATTCCCACCACGAAGACAATCCATGTAACCATCAGGACGACCCATCCCCACCATTCCGTGTCTGAGTAGTCCCAATCCACATCAGCAGGCGGCAGCGGCGTACTTGACAAACCACTGTACGAGAGTGGTGATTTGGCTTGTAAAATGGAGCGACGCCTCCGACTCGCAAAGTAGGATTCGGCGCCCGACGGCAGCGACAGGTCTGGCCGTAGAGGTGACGGTATATGGTTTGGGATATGTAGAACGTCATCTTCGTCCGTAGTAGATGTGTATGATATCGTCGGACTTGTTATGCTCGACTCGGTCTCGTTTGGCTGAGGAGGGCTAGTCGAGGAAGCGGAAGACTCGGCCAGACTCGACCTGCTCGCGTAGCCGTCCATGGAAGGACGTGGGGTGAGGTCCGAAATGTTGAGCCCAAGAAGATCGTGCCCGGGTGTCGTTGTAGTTGTGGTAGTCGTACCTGTGGGTGGTGATTGGGATAGATGCTCCGTGTTTTCCACCCCACGAGAGACACTATGCGATGTGTCGATAGTGAGCTGCTTCGCCTCCCTACGCTCCCTCTGCGCACCTCTTCCAAGAAGGGCAACCTTCCTAAGGGAACCTTTCCGTCTTCTCGACTTCTGTTGAGTAATGGTTGACATGGATGCCGACGCCGAGTGCGCTGCGTCTTGGTCGGCTTCGTGATGTGGCTTCCCGTCTGAGAGGGAGCGCATAAAGGGGAGCTTGGAAAGTAGACTGGCGCCAGACACCGTACGTCGATGTGGATTATTCGGGAGTTGGGTTTGCGACTGGGGTTGGACGGGCAGACCAGCCGTTGGCGATGTTGACTTTGTCACATCTGCAGAAATGACTTCGCCGTCGTCGTCGTAATTGGCGGCGGCAGCAGCGGACGCAGTTCGCTCCATTGTGTGTTGCGTCCAACTGCGATAATCCCTTGTCGCACAAGGCTGGCCCCAGTAGACAGAGTGGAGAGTATTGGTCGGAATGGGGGCGGAAAACAAAGATGGGACGGGAGGCTGAGACTGTGTTCGAGTCGGAGTTCGCTGCCAAATTACGTGGTTATCTCTTCACTGTTGTGCGGTCAACGAAGGACCGGCGAGAAAGACAAAAAAAAAAAAGGGAAAAAAAAAAAAAGGGTTTGCTGGCTGTACAGAGCCAAGCTGCATCTTGAACTGAGGCAAGGTGGATTGTTGGATCGCCCAAGTTAGCTGACAAGTTGCGAAGTCGATGCACTAACGGTGAACAGCCAGGTCCCTGCATAGTGACGTGGGCCGCGAATACGCGGTCCAGTGACCTGTCTGCCCATGGCGGAAAGTGGGTGTTGGAGCAGCCACGATCTCTCAAATCTCCCATGTATCTAAGGGAAATAACTCTAATACGCATCACATGCAATCAGCAGAGCACTAATCTGAAGTGAGTGCCGTGTCCCTGGCAGAGTGGCCCCAAAATCGGCTGAAGCTGAAGTGTGGGGGAAGCTGTCTGGGTCGTCCCTCAGGTGCGTAAGGTAGATAGGTAGGTTGATGCCTTTTCCCCCTTCCGTACAGTAAAATCCATCACAGTCCCCCTGATGTTGAGGCGCTGGGCGGTTCTAAGTAAATGATTGCTCGTCTCGTCCCATCTCATCCTTGTGTCTCTTGCCTGACAGACTTCGCACGACACACAACACACGACACCCGCCCACACGCCCACACACACTCTTTCTCGTCTCTCTTTCTCGCCTCCCCATACCATGAATGCCGGCGACTATCGGAAGCCGCCGCCATTGACCCCGTTCATGCTCCCACTGTTCCTGGCTGCCATCCTTCGCTATTGAACAGCCAAGCGCCGGGCGACACCGCCGGCAAGACGGGCCCATGGCTTCCAGCCCTGCATCTGCACGCTTGTCCACCCCTCCAAGACGACCTGCCACCCCACCGAGTCCCGAAAACGGCACCGTCAACAGCGATAGCAATGCACCCCATGTCATCCTTTCACCTTCCCAAATCGACTGTCCATCTATAAACATCGCTGGTGACGACGCCCGCCAGACGGACGACTTTGACAACGACGCGACCTCCGACCGTAGCAGCCTCCCTTACGTGGCAACGACATTGACATCCGGTCTTTTAGCTCCCTCGCCGAACCTGAAACTCGGTTTGCTTCGTCCGGACGCTGCAGTAATGGCCGAAGACGACCCTCCTTCCGCTGGGGGTTCTACCGTCCCGAGCCCCTTCAACTTTCAGACGCAGGTCATCTCGACGTCGCCTGTCAAGTCGGTATGTTCAGCTTCGCGTGGAGCGATATCGCTCATCACGATGCGCGCCTCGTCATCTTCGCATCTTTACTCGACCACTGACACCGTCCTCTCGCAGAATATCGGCCAGCGCCGCGGCCATCGATACAAGCACAGTTCGATATCGACACAACACCAGATCTTCCAAGAGCCTCCTCAGCGCCCGCCCCCCGTTCTACCTGCGTCCCTTCCCGTCCCGACCGTTCGCGAAGCATGGAAGAGCATGTCTCGCGACCAGCGCGCCCGGCTCTATTGGAGCCTGTGCCACCTAGCTGTCGCGTCCTGGCTATTCTTCATCTCCGAAGGCTCATTGGCCATGATGGCTCTATCCCACCTGGTCTTCTTCGACGCCGGGAGTGCTGCCGTGTGTGTCGCCGTTGAGGTACTCGGCAACTTCGAAGTTTGGCGCCGTAGCAGCATCCGCCACCCCTTCGGTCTTGAAAGGGCCGAGGTTCTCGCCGGTTTTGCCATGTCCATTTTCCTGCTGTTTGGCGGCTTCGATCTCGTGTCACACAATCTTAAGCACTGGCTCGAAACAAAGGGCGGACACGAGCCGCATCATGAACATGCTCATGAACGTGTGTCAGCCGGCGAGGTAGACTGGGCCGCCTTCGCCGCGATTGCTAGCACGGCCATCTCCGCGTATGGTCTAAAGAATCACGCGCGCATTGCTAGAATCATGCGAGTATCATGGCTCGCCGGACTTCCCACCCACTTTTCGAACATCTTTCACTTTCTTACCGTCTTCTTTTCCAGCTTGCTGCTTCTGCTTCCCCTCCTGTCAATCAAGACATATATTTGGCTCGACCGGACGCTGTGTGCGGCCATTGCAGCATCCATGTTTCTGTTCGGCGCCAAATTGGCCATGGCCCAGGCTATGATGCTGCTGATGTCGTACGGCGGTAATGGAGGCAATGAGGGCGTGACCTCAGTGGTGCGGGAGATTGAGGCAGAACCTGGCGTCACACGCATCGAAGACGCGCAGTTCTGGCAGGTGCATTACGGATTGTGCATGGCCAATCTCAAGATTTGCGTGGCCAAGGGTTGTGATGAGGGCACGATTAGCAAGCTACGCAGCCGGATATCAACTCTGATACAGAACAAGCTGGGCGAAGGATACGGTCGGGGCACGAGTCTGAGATGGGAGGTTACTTTGCAGACGAGCATTGACGCAACTGGATGAATGTTGGACAGTGACGGGCGTGTTTAGTTCATCGGGCGTTCTATTGGATGGGCATCTCAATGCGTAGACATTCTTCAGGTTGCGGGCCGGGGAAAAGACTCGAGAGTGAAAAGTCTATTTCTTTCAGGAGGTCGAGCCGAGGAGGGTATCCGTCCTTCTTGCTATATACCATTGTGCACAAAATACCAAAGACTTGTGAATAGAACAAGCCTGGTCCGTGATGTCAACACGACGAACCAGTTTGTCCCAGAAGGCTATTTTTCAACACCGCAACTCCTTTTTGCGTCCAAGTCATAACACGTTACAGACCCGAGGGAATTGTCCTTAAAATAGCCCCCAGCGTCCCCTCTGCTTGTCGTCTTTGCTGGGTCTGCCGCCCTGCTGCCGCTCTCGCTCACGGCCCTCGAGCTGCCGCAAACTTTCCATCTTCTCAAGAACCAACTCGAGAAGCTCTTTGCGACGGATGACCTCGAGGTGTCTCCTGATCTTGGGATCCTCCTTGGCAAACTTCTCAATCTCGGCGTCTGAAAGATGTCTGCCAAGGCGAAGGTCAAGCTCCCGGGGAAAGTTGTAGTAAAACTCCGAGAGGAGCTCCACGTTAAGGAAGAGCACTGCGGTCGAAGCCAGCTTGGTAGCTGCCGCATCAAGGAACACCTCGGGGCAGTAGTACTTGTTCTTCAGGTTTGCGCATTGTTTGGACTTGACAGCCAGCAGACGCATCTTGATGATGTCTGCGCGGTCCCTGAGGAACACAGCTTCGCGTCCTGATCAATGTTAGCGGTGTTTTCCGATGATTTCTTACATATGGAACCAACCTCTTGCAAGAAGAGCCGCACTGAAGCCTCCAGCACCGCTTCGTCCATCCCCTTCAACAACAACATCGCCTTTTCGGGCACGGTCCACGAAGTTCATGACCTCTCTAAGCTTCCTTCGACCACCGACAGTGTCTTCGATGCCCTTTAGAGCGCCTTCACAGTCTTGAAGCTCCTTCTTCAGCACCACAGCCGAGTGGTCCCGACCCTGGGTCCACTCTCTCTCATCAATGTCAATTTCAAACTTGTAAGGTTTGATACAGTTCTCGACCTGATCGCTGGTGCTGTAGAACCTCTCGTTAAGAATGGTCGACGCAGCATCCATGATGGCCTCCCGGGCAAAGGGGTGGCTGCTGAACGTTGAGCTTTTGATCAGGGCGTCAATGTGAGACTGAATAGATGAAGCAACCACAGTGGTTGCCAGCCTTCCCACTCCAAGTTTTGTCAGGGAGGACGTAGACGCATCGAGCTGCCTGTGCCAGTACAAAGAGTTTGGGTCGGCTTTGGGAAGATCCGCAAGATTGTCTAAGTCGGGTCGGGCAGGAGATAAGTCCTGGATGGGCTTGTTCCAGTATCTGGCTGCGAGCAGATCAAGAACCTTCTGATCCAACTCCTGCTTCAGCAACTCATGCATTTCAGGGCGGCCAAACTCCTCTGTGAATTTTTTGAAAGAATGCTTGAATCCATCGAGGCTTTCCGCCAAGTAGGACTCGGCCGAAAGTGGGCGATCATTGTACTGAACCTTGAACTCGTAAGTTGCCTCTTCGAGCTCTTGTCTGATGGCGTCGCTCGTGGTCTGAAGGCTGGCGGACATTGTTTGTTCAAGGACAGTCATGAGCTTCTTGCGCAAATTGATCGTTCCAACGTTGACTCCGGATCCTTCGCCGAATTCAAGTGGGTGGTTAGAAAAGAAAGCGTTCTCATTCTTGGCAATGACCGATTGGATGCTGCCGGATCGCTTGAACAAACCACCCGTCTGGGGCACTCTCGAAACGACACCAACATAGCCAAGCCTGAGGGGGTACTGTTTGTCACTGAGGATAGCAGAGCCTCGAGTAGCATCAACTAGGTCCATCTTGGTGACTACTCCAATCGTCCTCTCGCCTCTAGGATCCACACGACGGCTTGCACGCAGGGCTGTTGAGTTTGCGAGATCCACATCTGCGGCAGAAATGGCCAGGATAACATTTGGAGGTTGAATATACTTGTCGCAAAGCTCCGAGATTTTCTGCTTGAGCTCAAGCGGTTGACCTTGCCCCACGACTTGGATGTAGCCAGGCAGGTCGATGAGAGAGAGGTCTGGAACATTCGGGGAATAAATTGTGAGGTGAATGGGGTCATCCGACACGCACTGGCTGTCTGGGACGGCCAAATTGAGTTCGGTCAACGTTCTCTGAATAGAAGAGAAGTCTGTGATGCGTCTGAGGCCTAAGTCCGGAAACTCGCCGTATTCTGCCTTTGAATCAGGGGTGTTGACCAAAGTCAGCTCAATCGGCCGACGGGTAACCATGTTGGATCCCTTCGGCAAAAATTCGTGACCGACGAGTGCTTCCAGAACCGAACTCTTGCCCGAGGACTGGGAGCCGATGACCACAATAGAGGGCAGAGTTAGAGTGCTTGACTGTCCCACTTGCTGAAGCATGCCCCGAATCTCGATCATCTTCTTTGTCAAGACCATCATCTGGTCGTCCTTGGCTATCTCGTCGGGGTCTCGGGGGTCGTCGTCGGACTGTTCGTAGCCATATGCCGCGGTCGAAGCTCCAACAACAGCAGCAGCGCCAGCTCTGCTCTGTTTGGGAGGCTCCCCACCTGGTCCTTCATGCCCGCCTTTTCCTGTCCCAATCTCTTCGTGGAGTCTCAACACCTTTTGTAGCCATTCCGGGGTTTCGAACTGTTCTTTGGTGCTTTCCCATCCGCGCCTTGTTTGATCCGCTATGTCCTTTGCGCTACCGAAGATGGTTATTGCAGTATCCGACACTCCATCTGCCGTCTTGGTGACGAAGTCCCACGCGTTGGTGGTGAGCTCTGATAACGGCAACGTCAGTTGATAGTTGGGAACATGGAGGGGAGGTTAATCTTACGGTTGGCTTGGTACTGTACCCAGGCGAGTGTTCCAACAGCCAGCCCTCCGAACATGGCAGGAATCCTGGCAAACTTGACCACCAACTTTGGCAAGAATCGGGCAAAGGAAGCATTTCGGACGATTACAGCATTGTGGAAAGCGTTTCCCGAGAACCACATGCGGCGTCGAGTGGCCCGAACAGCAGCGTCGGCCCGTTGGAGGCCACCCACAGGAAGCCGATGAAAATGGCGAACGGCTTGAGCAGGAGCGCGTCGCGTCGTAGGCAAAAGCCCTGCAGAAAGAAGGCGTCCGCTCATGCTGCCGGCAAAGCACGGGGCCCGATGATGGAAAGTCGGTGACGGATTGTTCGCATGCGATAATGATTGAAATAAAGGGTTGCTGAAGGCAAAGCCGGGTTCTTCAGGATTGAATGGTCGTGATCTCGTCTCCGGCGGGGGAGTTGTGCGTCGTCGAGGAGACGAGGGGTACTAGAAACCCGTTGAGTTGTCACGAAGGAGTGGCGTGAATTCATACAGCGGGTTCTCGCGGGTTGCAATTGCACTCAACACCGAGTTGCATGAAGAGCCCATTTGCAACGGTGGGGAATACATTGACGAAGGTACCCTCCCCACTAAATTCGCCATGTATCTACTTGAGCGGGCCTGACCTCTCCTCGACCTTCGTAGCTGGCTATCTATTTTAGTATCTGTCCCCGTTTGATGCATAGTGGAAGGCTATTAGTAACCCTTTAAAGGCTTATCGCATCATCACATCCCTAAGACAGGTATGCCCACGGTGTACGTTCTATGCCTGTAGAAGGGGACGTACCCGCCCCGAAGCTCCTCCGATCACCAGCTGACTAGGTTTCCGTAGGTCGCCGTTGGACGTTCAATTAAAGAGCCCCGTGGCGCCGTGGCCATCCCGACTGCTCGACTCTGGCTTTTCGGACCCAGACCAAATGACTCACTGCAACAACGTACTTTCTCCATCTGCGAGCCCGAGTGACGAGGATGAGACCACCCTGAACATCAGGAACGCTTGAGCCAAGCCGAAGGCGCCATCGGCATTGTCCATTCCCCTAAATTGCTGCTTCTTTCCCCCCATCAGCACGGACGCTCAGCTGCCGCGCGCCCAGATCAGCTGGCCAGGACAATCCCCTACGCTGTGTTCCCAGCAAGAAGCCCGACTCTCTACCAAGACTTGCAGCATCCTGTGGCCTACCGATCATATCCCTATCAACTTACGCCACTGCCCTGGGGTTTCTGATCGCGCCATAGCTCATCAAACAGAATACATTTGACTGGGTCTTCCCTCCGCTTACCTTCCACCTGCGCATTCCACTGCCACACTTCGTTCTCTACTTATTTGCTTCCTCGTCGTCGTTCCACGACGGTCCGCATCCCTCCCGCCACCGTTGCGCGTCCTGGCCGTATCGGTCTCTCCAAACATCTCTGAGCTCAGGCATCGCACCTAAGTTCGCACGTCGGCCATCATGTGCCGATTCTTGGTACTTCTTCACATAGCTTTCTGGAGTCTGCATAATGCTAACTGTGCCTAGGTGTACCGTGGAAGCGATGAGATTCTGCTCTCCAAACTTATTCTCGATCCCACCCATTCCATTTTGAAGCAGTCCTTCGATTCGAGGCTAAGACTGGTGAGTTTGACTCCGTTCGTACCAACGCGTCTGTAGCGAACGTATCTAATCTCATTATCTGATCTAATAGGACACAAGAAGGGGTCAGAACAACGCAGATGGGTTCGGAATTGGCTTCTATACCGACCCAAAACTTGGACATGCGCCATGTCTCTTTACCTCCACGATACCCGCCTGGAACTGCACCAATCTTCATCGTATTGCCTCGAAGACTGCTTCACAGCTAATCTTTGCCCACGTCCGAGCAACCACCGAAGGATCCTTGAGCGAAGACAACTGCCACCCGTTTTGTCACGGAAGCTTGATGTGGATGCATAACGGGGGACTTGGGGGCTGGAAGTACATCAAGAGAAGGTTGGGTCAAAGATTGGCCGATAAATGGTACTTGGGAGTTCAGGGTGGTACAGACAGCGAATGGGCCTTCGCTCTATTCCTGGACACTCTCGAGAGGATGGGTCATGACCCCAGCTCCCAACCTCCGAATGGATTTGGTCCTACAGTGCTCCGAAAGGTCCTGCTGAAGACTATCGCGCTGATCAACGAGCTCATTGATGAAATTCCGGAGAGCACAATCCAGTCGGAGAATGTGGACACCCGAAGTTTGCTCAACTTTGCGGTTACCGACGGCAAGAGCATCATTTGCACTCGCTATATAAGCAGTGCAACAGATGAGGCAGCCAGTCTGTACTACTCGTCAGGCACAGAATGGGGAACGCGAACCTCGGCTGTTAATGATCGAAACTACCAGATGGAGCGCCGAGACAAAGGTGCCGACATCGTTCTGGTTGCGAGTGAGCCGTTAACGTTCGAGAGAGGTATACTTCAGACTACTAGAAGCTCAAACGAATCGAGACTGACATTGCGGCAGAAAATTGGGTGAACGTTCCGACCAACTCCATTCTGACTATCCACAACCAAACCGTCATGGTTCATCCGATCATTGACAAGTACTACGACCGAAGCCCGTACCACGTCAGATCCAGCGCGTTTGTTCAGACGAAGGGTTTGATCGCAAATGAGAAGATTTCGTCTCTTCTTAGCCCAGCCGCGACCCCCTTGCCAACTCACGAGGCTTCCAAGAAGACTTTGGGACCAATAATTCCATTCGGTGTTTCTCGTAGCCACACACCCGATCAATCCTTCGCCGCCAAGTCGAGGCGACCCAGTACACTACACGAAGTGTCAACAACAGCCGATTCAAGATCAATTATGACCATATCGAGCGGGCAGACCAGCATATCCCGCCCCCTTGTGCAAGGCAACATGAAGGTCAAGAGAGCTGCACCAGAAGTACAGCCTCATGTTGACAGCGACACGGATTCGTTAGCACCCGACGACCAGAACCACAGCAGGACTGAGTTCGGCCATCCTAACAAGTTGTCGAGATTCTTTCCCGAATTGACTATGAGCTAAAGGGCCGGCTAAGCGTTAAGGTCAAGTCACTTTTTTGGTGGTCTTGGACATTTCGCCCCCTCGACAAGCACAACTGAAGAAGCCTGTTGATTGCGCATGTGTACAACAAAATATTCATGGATTACAAGCGGGCGTTCTTGTCTTACTGGGAAAAATGAAACTGAAAATATAATCGGCGTCATACAAAGGGCGTTGAATCTGCGTGTCCCATACGTCTCGGCATCTTAGCCCTGCAATTGAATAACAGGAAAGTCGGGCTGCCTACCGAGTGATTTCCTGTACAATAGTTCATGTCGTCTGAATTGGCATTGAACGTCTGCTGTCCGTCAGATCAAGCAACTAAATGGGGAGACACCTCCGAATTCGCTCCACAAACTGGCCGGCGCCCCAGATTGGCCAATCCTGAAAAGAGGCCAAGCATATCACTGTCCAAATTCCCGTGTGCCAGTAAACGCCTTCTTTCGGTGCTTGTTCGCTGGCTCGGACATCCAGCTATGCAATGACAGGTTCAAATGGACGGATGCATGTTATTGGCATAGCCAGGTCAAACTTTAGACAAATCAGCACCCTTATCGGCGGATTGTCGATCTGCCACTGCTCCTGTCACCCGGTCGGTATCTTATCTACGCCCGGAACCAGCGTCTTTCATTTTGTAACCTGGCATATTCCGCAGGTTGATTTTCTGGTTCCTGTTGTTTATCTGAATCAGGCATCGCACAGCACTACGATTTCCCCCTCGCATATCATCAACGATGCCTCCATCATGCACATTCTTAAACTTTCCTCTTGAGATTCGTCTTGAAATATACAGTAAACTTCTTCTCCACCCTCCGCCTGATAGACTCGCGCCGAAGACCAGACCCGCCGAGCGGTTACATCCTGCCATCCTTGCCGTCAACCGGCAAACACACGCCGAAGCTTCGCCTATTCTCTATACCAAGAACATCTTCCTTGCCCACGGTGCCCTGCTCGCGTCTTTCCCACGGCTCCGACCATGGTATCCGCCGATTAAGGAACAAGGGGTGCTTCCTCGTATCCGGCGGTTCCACATTCAGGTTCGGCTTGACTGCGACCCGGCCTACGACGCCGAGGCAGTCACGGCTGCATTCAGCGGTGCAGACGAGCTTGTTGTGGAGGTCCGGCAGTCAATGTTTCTCGGGGCAGATCACGGCACGCTGCAACTGTTCGAAGGAGTTCGGAGTGTCAAGGCCGTGAGAATTTACGGGAGCACGTTCGGCTTCGAGGACTACGCACGTTGGCTGGAACAGCTGATGAGCTCCGAGGCCGATAATCTGAAGATTGAGTTTGTTCGGAGGCAATGACCGAGTCTAATGTGACTTGTTCAACGTCTTCATGTTTTCATTGAGCAGACCACATCCGAGGCCCGTTTTCGGTGCCTATTCTCGGTACGAAACGACAAATCCTTCAGGCAACCGAGGCATTGCTCGAGCTTTGAGCTACAAGACTTGACGTTCCCGGCTCCTCTACTTCAAAACCTTATCGCATCCAACAACCTGACAATACAAATCATAAGGAAAGAGGGAGAAGAAGAAAGGCAAGAGAGGCTCCGACAAGGGTTGAGGGCGCGTTACAATTGCGACATCACACCCTGCGGTGACAACACAGAAGCCTGCTCCACATTGATCCCCGAGTTTAGGCGCCCCTCAGTGGAGTATACGCCCCGGGAAGAGCTTGTCTGGGCGCGATCAGCCTATCAAGGCGACCTCGTTACCGGCCTCCTGGACATGAGAGCCGCTGCCCATTAGAGCAGCGGCTAGGAACGGCCATGCTAAGCTCAGGTCACTGCTCGGACCTGCGGCCGATGAAGCAGCGACGAAGCTAATCCCTATCGAGACTCTAGGTCCCATGTCGCAATTGTTCGCGCGACACATCCCATTTGCTTTTTGGCACTTCATTCCTTTTGGTCACCACCCAGCCCGCTCCCTCACACACCCCTTCGATTTCAGGACTTGCAGGTTGGCTGGCTGACCAGAAGGGCTTGGGAAACGCATCGCGACTCTACTGCGAATGATCAGGTGAACTGGAAAGCCCACAGCCAACAATCGCGCGACCCTGAGAATGGCGTTCGAATTCCTCCCTTTCCTGTCTGCCGTGTTCGGCTGGATCTACTTCCTCTGCTGGTCCGGGTCCTTTTATCCGCAGCCTCTTCTGAACTTCACAAGGAAAACCACGGCTGGCACAACAGTCGACTTTCCTCTCATCAATTGCCTCGGTACGTTGCAGGCTCCTTAGGAGCTCTGGCGCAACGCGACAGGGTGGCTAATTCGTGATCTTCAGGCTTTCTGGCATACCTCGTCTCTAACTCCTGCCTCTACTATTCTCCCGTCGTCCGCTCCCAGTACGCCGTGCGCAACCACGGCCTTACCCCGACCGTCGCCTTCAACGACATCACCTTCGCCGCTCACGCCCTTCTCCTTTCCTGCATCACAACCAGCCAGTATCTTCCACGTCTCTGGGGTTTCTCCCCTGCCGCGGGCACCAAGCCTAGCCGCTTCATCACGGGCATCGCATTTGGGTGCGTCGTGGGCGTTATTCTCGTCGCATTCATCGTTGCCGGGGCCCCTAGCGACGGTGACCCGCGGACGAGCTGGTGTGCTCTCGATGTGGTGTATGCCATCTCCTACGTCAAGCTGGTTATCACGTTGATCAAGTATACCCCGCAAGTCATTACCAACTACAGAAACAAGTCGACCAAGGGTTGGTCGATTTGGCAGATTCTGCTTGACTTCTCTGGTGGCCTATTGTCCTGCGCCCAGCAGGCCATCGACTCGTATTTGCAGGGCGACTGGTCCGGCATCACTGGTAACCCCGTCAAATTCGCCCTGGGCAACGTGTCCATGGTGTACGACCTAGTGTTCATGACTCAACACTATATACTATACCGCGGCTCAGATGGTAAGGCCGAGGAGAGGGATTCCCTTCTTCGTGCAGACGATGAAGAACACCAACGACTAGATTAGATACTTGCCTTTGGTACGACTTTATACTGACTGCTATTCGGCACATCTCGATTACTTTAGAGAATAGAACGATATCTATTTCTGAGTACAAACCCCTGCGTTCTTGCTTAATGTGCCGGACAGCCTGCGAAGCTTGGAGCATGCATGTCGTGCTACCGGAACACATCTGTGAGCAGTAGTAAATCTTTCATACACATCTAGACAAAATACGAAGCAGTCTAAACACGCTCCTCTGGAAGAAGTCTAGAAGTCTACCTCTACTGTAGCCTTGTCTCCAACCACGGTATGCCAGGCGCAGCGAATCTCAACAAGAAACGCGAGTATACCAACCACTTGCAAACAACGTCCAAAAGGAATGCACAGGACAGGAAGGAAAGGAAGAAAGAAAAACAAATGCCGAAGTCCCTTTGTATGCCTGCCCCTGAACGCCGTCGGGGGAATATGCGGTCTCGCAAGGTGCCTCCCAACTTTTAATCGCTCTAGAGTCGTCTCTGTTCTGGTCTTGGTTTATGCTCTAGAACTTTTTCCCCCGGCCGTATATGCGATATGTGACTAATCCTTTCTTTCAGCCAGAGACACCTGCCTCTCTTTCTCAGGCCGTGCACTGTCTGATCATTTGAATTTTAGGTCCAAAATTACGGTCGAGGCCGCTCATGAAGAGCCGCTTTCGTTGGTCTGCATGAACGCAGGAAGCTTCTTCCAAGACTCCTGGCTGGGCACCTTAACCTTACCAAAGTCCTCGTCAATATCGAGGATAATCTTCAGGGCGTTACGGCTACGCGCAAAGGGGCTGGTGTCCATCTTCTCCCTCAGCGTGGACACAGCTTCCCCAACACCAGTGTGAACCTTCATAGATTCTGACGAGCCGGGATAAGGGATGACGCTCTGCAGAACCTCGTACGCGGCCAAGGTAAAACCAAACTGTGGGGATGAGCGGAAGATTCTGGCCGGACCACCCTTGAAGAAAGCACGGAAGCCTTCTTCCTTCCAGATGGTCTTGGCTGCGTGACGGAGACCAGTGTATGTGGCCTCACCCTTACGAGCTTCGACCTGGAGACGGGTCTTGATGACGTCGCAAGGCGTGGTTAGGTAGGCGGCCGGCATGCCGGCAATGGCGCCGGCAGTGAGTAGCTGAACGACGCCCAGCTTCTTGGTAGGCGACTCTCCGAACATGTCCTTCTTCAGGTGACTGTAGGTTGGGAAGTAGATGGCGGAGAAAGGAACGTCACGCAGAAGACATGCAGAAGCGCCCTTGTAAAGACCGACGAGACCCAAGTTGCGGACAATCCACATCGCGGATCTCTTGGGGGCTCCTTCGACAGTCTTGGCGACCTCGCCCTGAACCTGGAGTCGAATCTTGACGATCTCCAGAGGGTTGGTGAAGACCTAAAAGGAATCATGTCAGGACCGATGCGAACCAAGAGATGTGCGTTTATGGGGGGGACTTACAACTTGGCAACCTCCAGCAGCGCCACCGGCAAGAATTTCATGGCCGTACCAAATCTTGCCCTCCTTGTTGGTAAAGTGGCCACGAACAAGGTCGTTCACCGTCAGCTTGATGGCCTTCTCGGGTGCTACACCAACAAGCTGAGGCAGAACACCGGAGTACAGACCGCGCAAACCCTCGTTTCTCCATACCTTCTGGAAGCAATCGATTGAGTTCTTGTACAGCCTCTCGCCTGGTCTGGCACCTCGCTGGTTTTGCAGGCGCGTCTTCACGAGATCGATGGGATATACCATGAAGGCACCGAAGGCACCGGCCAAACTGCCAAGGCCGAAGTTGTAGCCGGATTCGAGAACCCGACCAAGAAGCGCCTTGCTTGCTGAGGCGCCCTTGGCGATAGCTTTCTGGGCCGCATCGTCGACCTCGGAGAGGGCGTTTCTCCATGAGGGATCAAGTACCTTGGCGAAATCGGTGAGTCCGAGACGACCCGAGGGCTCATCGAGGCTGGCGAAGTGGAAAAGAATGTCGGCCTCCATGGGAGTGAAGAGGGAGAACCGAGTGATCTTGGCGGCTTGGTTCAGGAACTCGGTCCTGGTAATCTTGCCGTCCGGGCTCTTAGCACAAGCACGGCGCACGATGAGCTCGACAAGATCAATCTCCTTAATCATGTTCTGGAAAGCGCGCACATTGGCATACGAGACCTTGCTGCCGAGGGAAATGTTGCACAGGGTTGATAGGTTCTCGAGCAAGTGGTCAGACAGCTTGTGCTTAGAGGTTTCGCGGATGATGCGCTCAAAATCTTCTGGGTCGATGAAGCCATCGCCGTCCTGGTCGAATTGCTGGAAGGCCTGGCGAATTCTCTCGCCCTGGAGACCGCGCAGCATCTGGGAGAATTGAGGGTAGTCCATGTGGTGACGCTTCTTCTTGCTGCCAATGTACAGTTTGGCCCACTCGCACTCCCAGTCAAAGGGAATGCTATCGGGTCCCTTGTTCAGCTCGTAGAGCTTTCGAAAGTCTTCGTACTTGACGTTGCCGGTTCTATCGACGTCGAAAAGGCGGAAAGCGATCTCGTACTCGGCGTCGGGCTTCATCAACAGGTTCTCGAAGGCGGCCCATTCGGAAAGAGTTATTTTGCCTGCACCCTTGCGATCGGCGACGCCAAAGAGAATGCCATACTGTTCACGCTTGATTTTGTGCTATGCGGTGGGCGATGGAGTTAGCCAACGATCGCGTGGTGTATCGGAGGGATATCGGAGGCAGCTTCTCGTCCAACTTCATGGCATGGAATTCCGCGAAAGGACAGCATTCAAGGTGGAAAAGATCAGGAGAAGGGAAAGGCTCACATAGTCCTCATCAGTAGGCGCAACAGCGTTAATAAACTGCTCAGGGCCCATTAGGAGCTCCCCTGATGCCTCGTCCTTGACAGCATTGGCGACAAATCTTGTTTTGGTCTGGGCGGACAACTGGACGGGCTCTTCAGCGCCAAGGAGACTCTCCTTGACGGCCTCCTTGACGGCCGCTGCTTTGCTCATCTTGGACAGATTGGATTCGCAAGAAGGTGATGCAGTAGGCACGAGGAGAATCGTCTGAGGACTGAGGACCCTGCCTTAACCTGGGGAAGAGAAGAGGAGGTAAGGTGGGTGTGGGTTGTGGGTTGAGCAGATGTTATCGCGCAAGGTGAGGTAGGGTGGTGCGGCGCGATAAGATTTGGCCTCTACCAGTCACTGGAGCCGACGTGGGCCTCTGGGGAGAGGTTGCGCTCCAGGATCGGTCGTTTCTATTACGAACTCAATGGACACAAAGAGGGACAGGTTGCTCAGTCAGGGTAAGGAAAGTGGGCAAGGAGTCAAGTTGAGGTCTAGGAGGTAGGTAGCGAACGGGTAGGGGAGATGCAGTGGGAAAAAAATTTGGGGGAGCCTCGTCTGGGGAAGTTGGTCACACAACTTGAGAAAATTCCTATTGCAGCCGGTCACTTTGTTCTTTGGTCGCACGCAGCAGGGACTCCGAAAGGAAACATGGAAGCTACAGAATGGTCAGGCGGTCTCGGTTTGGAGGACGCGTTAGACGGATTCAGAGTATTGGCATGTACCGAGCCTAGCACGAGCGGTATGCCCGGTACATCTGAAGAACAATCAGAGACACCGGGCAGAGACACAGAACACGCTGTAGAAGGCGCCAGAGACAAGAGACAGACACAATGGACAAAACCAGCGGGATGACGGCGGGGCCTGAGTCAATTCCTCAGATGCAGGAGCCCGTTTTTCGGAATCGCCAGCGTCTGGCGTAATTTTTTTCCCCCTAGCTCCACGCGGGAGTCAGGAACAGGCTTCGGATCATAGTTGATGCCAGCCTAGCGTGCCGCGATACCCACGATATTGGGCACGATAAGGATTCATCGGCCGGTGGTGACCTAGGCACTCGTGGACCAGCTGGCCTGGCACGCCTGGCAGGAGTGCCACATGCGCAAACCCACAGACGCCGCCGCCGACATGTGCGCACACACATGCCGCTTCCTGCAGCGTTCGCGCGCTTCTAAGCGGGCTGACCGCCTCGGACAAGGCCGGTCTTGCTTCCGTCCTCGACGGTGCGTGTGTGCAGAACTGCAGCTTCAAACTCTGCCGTTCTTTCTTCTTTTTGCCGCCGTTTTCTTTTCTTCTCCCCCGCCATCAATAATCCTTCAGGTCCTGACCTTGACCTTACTTACCTCAGGTAGCCTCGATATCGGCTTATAACTACTGGTTAAGTGCCTCGGCATATGTCACGACCGGAAGCAAGCCATCTATCTTATCAGCAGGTACATGCGCAACGGGTAGAAAGCCGCGGACTCCTGCGCAACAAGCAGTCACTGGCATAGCTTGCTCTATGTGTACATACTCCACGGAGGAAGCCCGACGTGGTAGGTACCAATAACCGGCCTCTACCGGGATTTTCACACACGCCGATAGCTTTCAATTCGACGGGGATGGTCCACGAGTGCCATCAGATTCGTGCGCATAAACTTCGGACAAGTGGATCCCGGTCCCGCCCCGAACATGCCGAGGGGGCCCATGGGGAAGAGGGTGAGCTGAACCTGGGCTTGTCTGGGCACGCGGGAGTTCTAGCCGCCTCTGGGATCAAGGCACAGCTACAGCAGGACACATGTTCTGCAAGACCCCTAAAATATTTGGGATTACGCAGTATTACGACAACCTTCTACGGAATTCAACGGCCGCGAGAGCTGCTGGGCTGAAATGCTGGTTTTTGTTTCCCATAGAACCGACGGTCACGCACCCTACTCAAAGGTCAGAACCCCATGCTCTCCTCTCCCACTGCGTCAAACCCACTGCCGCAGTTTCACTGCCACACATCCGCACCAACGGAGGAGCAGGTGCCTAGGCCTGCCATTTTCGGAAACCGAGGCCAGTTCGACCGACGTCAGAAGGGCCAGCTGGAGCTAGGGATCGGCTCGGAGCACCTGGCCTCGACTCGAGGACCGGCGCTCCCGCCTGCGCATCCGGCTTCCACGTTCCAGTCAATCTTTGCCTCGCGAATCGACTTCCCTGTCGGTTCAAAATGGCCGAGCGGGAGAGATGAATCCGATGCATTCACCAAACCCCACGCCGTCGCCAGCATAGCCGCTCATGCGCACCCCGTCGCCGTCTTGCAAATACGTTCTGTCTTGACCGTCAGATGTCTTCCAACTGACCTTGCCACCCTTGGTCATCTCAAGCAGACAGCCGTGCTCGTCGTCGCCAGCACCCGACACCGTACCCGTAGCCAAAACGTCGCCCGTGTTGAGGTTGCAACCGTTGATTGTCTGCTGCGCTACAAGATCTCGAAACGTCCAATACATCCAGCTGAGCTGCGCCGTGCATACCGTCGTGGTCTGCCCGTCCGCCAACACCTCGGCTTTCAGGGCAATGTTATAGCTTGACTTCTCTTTGTGGTCGAGCAGGTAAGACTGCGCTGGTACGTCCTTCGTGGGCGGCCGTGTCGCAAAAGGCTCGAGGGCTTCAAGCGTTATCACTAAAACCAAGTGCATTGTCAGTACTGCAATCAGGAACAACTTGGCGTGCGAACGTAAGACTTACCCCAAGGGCTGATTGAAGTTCCAAAAGACTTTCCATTCATTGGGCCGAGAGGATTCATCTCGAACCCTTGGATGTCACGAGCTGCTTGCTGTCAGCGACGCGGCTTTCTCCTTCCTTCACAACGATGCTCTACTTGCCACTCCAGTCATTCAACAGAACAAGGCCGAAGACATGCTCGTCGGCATCAGAAATCGCAACCCGGTCGCCAAGTTCCGTCGCCTTTCCAATGATGCAAGCTACCTCCAGCTCGTAGTCAAGAGCTCTGCATGGTCCAAACCCAATACTGTCTCCATCGCGATACTGACCGTAAGGGCGAGTGATTTTCGTTCCCGAGACCACGATGCTGGACGGCCGACCGCTGTACCCGATCGGAAGATACGGTGCTGCGGGCGGCATCGACGCCTGTCCCATAACGGCCGCTGATGCATTCAACAAGTGTTCCTTGGAGCAAGAGAAGTCGGTGAAACCGCCAATCTGCACCGGCAAGTGCAGATGAACATGTTCAATCGGGACGCCGCGTTTTGAAACCACCGACTGATCGGACAAGGTGTTTCGAATGCTCTTTCTGAGCAGACGGAGTTCGTCCTTCCCTATGGCGGCTAGAGCATTGAGAGTTGGCTAGTTCATGGTCAATTTCACGTTCCCCTTTCGAAAGCTGTGGCATATACCTGGGACAGCGCGGCTTGGACCTGCTTGGAAGCATCGAGGCCCAAATCCGCAAGAAATACAACCAAATTGCCAATCCTCGTGGCTACGCCTTTTGGATGTTCGGCAGTGCTGGCAATGCCGTAGGGAATGTTGGCGAGGGAGAAATGCTGAGAGAAGCTCATCTTCACGTGCTGAGCGTTTAAATTCAATGATGAAAGGAGTACCGGCGACAAGATCTTACTATGACAGCGGCTGCTTGTCTTTTACGTCTCACAGCAACAAGCTTCTTAGCCTGGTCCAACATCAGCACCCCCCCCTCCCCTTCCTCCCCCGCCCCCGCCGGCCCCGGATTCACTGGCTCGGTTTAATTTCCCGAACCTAGCATCTGGTTCAAAGAGCAGGTCGGCAAACTTCGCGGCATACACGCCCTCTGATGCATCAGATGTCCCAAATTCGTCTCCGAGTTTTCATTTGGACGGGATTACGGGCAACGTCACATAATTCTCCAGGCCCTGCCCGAAATGAATGTTGTTGAGTCCTGCAAACTTGATGGCAGGCCTAGGGATTGGAAGTTAGTCATGGTGTTGAAAACGATGTGCGGGGAAGAGGGGCTCACCTGTCGACATCGGAGGAGTGCTGGAAAATGCCACTGCCTTGTGTGTCGCCACTCGCAACTTCAAATACGATTTTGCCGCCCTTGTCGACAACTACGTTCGTGGGCCAGAGCTCGACATCTACCGCGTAAATCTCGCCGGCCTTGACAGGCTGGACGTCTGTTGAGAGATACTCTCTGTGAGGCAGCCAAGACTTGTGCCTAGGGTTCTCGTCATGCACCTTGCGGTTGCTTACACGAAGCCAGCCCTTCACAAGTGGCACAGGGTCTCCGGCTGTTCCTGTGTAGAACACTTCCTGGCCTGTCGGGTCGATGTGGCGCAGAGTTACGAATAGGTCAATATCAGTGTCGTGTCCGGTGTTATCGGGCGTTACAGAGACGTTGAGGTGGGCCACTACGTGACCTGTGATTTCGGTTTCCTGCTCAAAGGACGCAGTGGCAAAGGATACGAATTGCTGGTTCTCCAAGGACCCAAGAGCCTTATACGACACCGTCTTTGACTCCGAACTGGGACCAGCTGCTGTCAATCCCAGGTCCGAGGTCAGGAAAAACTTCGTGTACTCCGTACGTGGAATGGGCCAGGCACTCTCCTCTCTCCTTTCGTAAGCCTTCTCCCTCTGGGCATCGTTGAAGCCGATGTTGCCCTTGCGCAGTGTGAGCGTTACAGGAGACACCTTGCCAGGAACACTCCAGCCCACGCGGTCATCACCCTTCAGAAAAGCGTCGAGGAAGCTCTTCTGGAGTTCAACCTCCTCGGGGTAGTAGAAGGGTAGATCATGCCGCCCAGTGATGAAGCGGAGGTACTTGAGCTTGGAGCCGGCTCCAAGATATCCCTGGACGTTGCCTCTCAAATGAAGGAGAATGCCACCCCAGTTGGCAACGCTTAACACGGGAACTTCAATGTCTTCCAGCTTATACTCCTTGCTGGCGTAATAGTCGTCGTCGCGAAAACGATTGGCCTCGTTATCTTTGGTTTGGTCCTGACGGTTGGCGACCAGGACGTCGTCAGGCAAATCGCCCTCGATGGTGTCCTCCTGACCCCTGGCTCCGGGTCCGTCGGGAGGAAAGTCCAGCTTCGACCTGTCTTTGCGGCCATACTGGTTCACAAGGACCTGTCGATTCCACCACACGCCGATGAACTTATTGGAGTAAATGCCACCGTGTCGACAACGGTCACGGTAGTAGTCAGACATACCCTCCCACGGGATGATAGCTGCGAGACCTTTGGGGCGACGAGCCGCAACTCGCCACTGAGAGCCTGTGACATGTATAAGCAACCGGCGATGATAGGCGTCTAGACAGGACACACATACCGGCATAGTAGGATATACCCAATAGGCCAACTTTTCCATTAGACCAAGGTTGCTCAGCGGCCCATTCAACAACATCGAAGAAACACTCGCTCGTGCCGCGGCTCATGGTATCTAGGAAACCAGGGCTCTGACCCAAGCCGCGCTCGTCGGCTCTGATGATGGCATAGCCCTGACTGGTCCAGTAGACAGGGTCCGGAGTCTCCCAGGCTGAGTACTTGGACTTTTGCTCGGGGTTCACCTCACTGAACGATTTAGGGTAGAACTTGGCGTACGGAATGTCCTTGCCATAGGGACCGTAGGTTACCAGCACCGGATAGCGACCGGTCTTTCCCGACGTGAGCGGGAGGTAAACATTGGCTCTGATTGGAAGTGGTGAGTCCTTCAGGGGAATGGAAACGTTCTTCATAAAAGTGAGGCCATTCTCCTTGTCCTCCGTGACCTCGAGGAGGTCCTTAATGGGCGGAGTCTTGACAGACATGGCGATCAAATAGATTGGTGGTGAGGTGACGAAGATGGTGATAATGGTGTCACTCAGAATCGGCTGCGTTTGTTTCAAAAGGGTCCTGGTTGAGTTTTATTGCGAGAGACTGGGAGATTTCGGAATCGCAATCACGTTCTTCACGGCAGGAGCTCTTGACGATGGGGTGGACAGCGGAGGTGATGACAACGGGCCCCTCATGGCGTTCCGTCGGCGCGGCGGAAGGGTGGGGGAGGGGCTGACCCCAACCAACTGGACCTCGACTTACGGTTGGTACCTTGGCAAGTAAGGTAGGTAGGCAGCTGAGCGTACCTACCTAGCGAGGCATAGCACGTACTGCCGTGCTCGCGCTGTTTCGTGTATGACGGACTGCCGCTGTGGCTGGTTTTGGTTGGTTGGGAGACGACGAGGTTTGAGCTCCCTTCTTGTGAAGCAAGTGTGACGGACGTGCTCCGGCGAACCTCGGAGCTCCACCGCGAGGGGCAGGGGTCAATGCCGATGCATCCTTCCCTTTTCTTTCTTCTCTTGTATCAACTCAAGCGAGCCGAGTCACCTACATAGGTAGGTACGCTGCGAGTGAAAACTTAGTGTACTGTATTTCTATTGCCGAGCCGATAGTGGCTTCCGACATGCTGGCGAGTTTTACGGTGGTTTCGCCAATCAACGTCAACGTTGTCAATGTTGCCACCTCTCACGCACACACATGCACTCCCTCTCATATGGCGATTCTCAACCACCTTCGGTCAAAATAAATGAAGCTATTCGTGCCTTGTGTGGTGTCGCGGAATTCCCAATCCGATAGTGTACAGTTGCAATCGCAATGCCGTGATGTCTCCCTCCGTCTCCAAATCCACGGCTGCTAGCAGTCAGATTTCGCCGCCAACCTTGGCCCTCCAATATGTCTGGTTTACCTTGCCCCCCGTGCTTCTCCAAAGCCAGTTGGTAACCTGTCAGACGCACGTCAGCAACCAGCCGGCATGGTTTGCCCAGCCATGGCGCATTCTTACCCCTTGAATCCAACATCCGTTCAACATCACAAAAACGAAGCCGTTCTCAATCCTGTTGGATCCCCAAGGTCGGTCTGCAACATCCAGCTCTCGGTTGATGGGTCTGTACGGAGGCACTTGGCGATGCTGGTCATACCAATCGGGAGGGTTCTCAACCGCTGGCAAAGGCGCATCTCTGGACGGCCTCGCGTACGCTTCCTCGACGCCTCCAGTGAGTCGGATGCTGTAGTCATGGAGGTAGTCCTGGCGGACTGTGGTTGTGATCGGGTTGTCTGTTGTGGTGGCCGACATACTGATGCGCGTGGCTGAACGTTCTTGTCTGTGGGTTGGGTTTTGCAAAGGATGAGTTGTGTTGCGAACGACTTCAATCTCAGTTCTGGTCTCAATTCTGGAGTTTGGCCTGCGCCTTTCTGGAAAAGGATTCACAAGGGGGGAGCAGGCCGCTTCAATATGCCGACCGTCGACCCGTCGTCCATCTCCGCGAACCCGCTCCCCGTTTGAACCAGTCCTGCGTCGGAAATGCGGGGAGAAGTGAACTGCGTCTGCCCTATCCTGGTAAGCTCGACTGTGATCGACCAGCACCCCTGTCCTCCACTTTCCGCCCCTCTAATCCCCGGACGTCCAGGTTGAGGTCCCGCCAAGTCGTTCGAGCTATCGGGTCATCGAAGGGTGTCACTGTCGGAATATGTTACAGCTCCCTCGGGGTAACTAGATAGAATAGCTTCAACTTCACCCAGGGCAGATCAGATTCGCGTCCATCTCACTTACCCTCCTATTCATACCTCTTTGCCCTGCTCATTGGAGACCAACCGACCGCCGCTATGGAACCTGCCATCGAGAAGCTGCTCGTGACCCTTGTTGATGGTCGCGCGGAGGGCATCCGGTTCCGCCAAGACAACCTCTTCAGTCTTCACGAGGAATTACGCAAAGAGTCCGCAGCGCTGTGCGCCGCCGAAGAAAAGGACACGGGCGCGTCAAAGACGGAAGTCGAGGTTGAGCATTTTCTATCAATGGAGGCCGTTCGCCACTTCTATGAGTCTCTTGACTTTGGGAAAGAGCTCGATACTGAGTACCTGGTGGCTCATGGCAAGGACAACACCACTAGACGAACCGGTGCTGGGCTGGTTATCATTAGGCCAACAACTTACACTCGGCTGTTCTCTATTCTGAGCCCTCTTGCTGCGGCTATAGCTGCAGGCTCTGTGGTTGCGCTTGAGGTTTGTAGGATTCCGAACCACGGTCATCTCATGGTTTTGAACGAAGCTGACCAGAGCGAACAGCTCGAAGATACTCTGCTGCAGCTCGACTCAATTCTCCGCAGCGTTCTCCCTCGAGCTCTGAATCAGAATGCTTTCTGCATTACAAAGAAAATTACTGATCAATCGCTTCTCGACTCAGCAATCCTTGTGGATCAAACAGGCGCTGCACCCAGCGCAAGCCATGTCAATCACTTTGTCTCCTCCAACACTGCCCGTGCCATTGCCATCGTCGACCGTACCGCCGACATTGAAGCCGCAGCAGGGGCCATCACAGCCGCACGTTTCGGCTTTGGGGGACAGTCACCGTATGCGCCAGATCTCGTTCTAGTCAATGAGTACGTGAAGAAGGAGTTCTTCGAAGCATGCTCAAAGCACGCTTCCCTTGCCTTCGCGCGGGAGACGACCGTTCGACGCGCAAGTGACAACAAAAGCGACGAGACCAGGACGGCCGTACAGGAGGCTGAGGAGAAGCGGCTGGTTTCCAGCTTTGGATCGAAGGACTTCAAGTTGGTTGACATCAAGGACAAGTGAGTTTCTCCGGGTGCTCAGTGGTAGGGACAGGTTGTTAACGACTGTAGGAACACTTCTCTCTTGAATGCCAAGGTTAGTGGGCGTTTCTTGCCGATTGCGACTTCATCTGGCCTCGTGGACTCCATATACACTTATGAGTTTGAGTAAGTCAATACATGCCATTCCATCAACTAAACGTTGTCTCACTCCTGTTCACAGAAAGCCTCTCTTGGCGGGCTACTTCTTCGCCAGTCCCGACGCAGCAAAGTACCTCTCACAACACCTTCCCTCGCACATTTCTTTTATCAACCAGATTCCCTCCAGCCTTCTCCTTGGGCCTGCGGCATCCACCTCGCACGATGCGGCCTTCGAGTTTCGTTACAGCAAGGAAATGTTTTCCGTGTCCCGGCCACAGTTCGTTGAGCAGCCTTCCGGCGCACTGGCAAAGGTCGACCAGCTCCTCTCTGGCGCCGGCGGCATCACGACACAAAGCCTGCGAGCTTTGGCGACTGCCCCCCTGAAGCCCACGAACCAGCCTGGAAACAGCAGGTTGGGATTCTTCGAGCAAGGATTCGTAGTTGGTGCCAGTCTGATCATGAGCATTGTGCTGCCCAGTCTGGCGTATGGAACATGGATCGGTGGACGTCGAGTGTTTGACTACGCATTGAAGCTCCGGTCTTAATTTCCTCAATTTCACAATTAGGTTTGTGCGCCTGTATATTAGTCTGCAAATGCAACCCACTTCTTACTGCATTCATCACAATTTGGCAACTTCAACAGTGCTTCAGGCAGATCACAAATGGTTCCAAGATACGAGGCCTTCGCAAAATGCCCCGGGGAAGTTTGCTGACCGCTGACTAAGTAATCAACACATGCTGAAATGAAGCCACACGAATCAGGCGTTTTCAGGTCGTATTCCATGGTAGTTGCGGCGATTCGGCACTCGGGTTGTTGAGGGGGCAGGCTGGCCTAACGGCTCGATCTCGGCTCGGGAAGTGGAGGAAAGACCCCAGTTTCCCGCACCGGCCCCGCCGGCCCCATATTTCCCCAGGCGAACCCCAGACCATTCACGCTCCTGCCTTCCATGGGCATGGCGAAGCAGTAATTGCCGCCATGTCGGGCCTCTCAATTCCGCCGGACGACCTGATATAGCGTCTCGAGTGAGCATTCCGTCCGCCGATGGGGCCGTCCTTGGCTGAGATGTGGCAATGACTATCGGCATAGCTATCGAGAACAGCCAATGCCACTTACATCAACGGCCACGACGTGAGATAACCTTCCCAGAAGCCTTCGCCATCGAGCCATCCATCAATTTTTGTATGACAAACTCCAGTTGAACATTTCAAGTGCTCCAAAGATCGAGGTTAGCTTCGTTCGTGTATATCCTAAGTACAGCTACCACAGCGACATTCTGCAAGAAGGACGACGCCTCTCAACCATGGCCGTTGGCAGCAATGAAGAGGGTCCCATGACCCCAGTTCACCTCTTTTCTCATGGCTCGACAATGATGCTAGGCGAGGAGAGCAACTCGGCCACGTATTGGAAGAAGTGTGGCGATGAAGCTCTCGCTCAGGGCATAGAGCATATCGTGATGATGGTAAGCACACAGCTTCGTCGTTGCTGGTTTCACCATCCCACGCTTCTTTACGATCAGCCAACTCACAACGGACAGGGCGCACACTGGGCAACGAATGCTCCCGGAGAGGTGCTCATCTCCGCGCATCCCAAGCCCGGAAAATCACCTGTAGCCTACGTGAACCCTCAAAAATACCACCCCTACAAGCTCAACCCCGACCTGGATTACATTCCCACGATCCAAGCCCACCTGGAGGCTGCAGGCATCCCTTCCAAAACTGACCCGACCTTCGACTGGATCCACGACACTTACCTCGTCCTGATTCGCATGTTTCCAAAAGCCTGTCCACCCACAACCCTCATCTCCATGAACGACTTCTATGACCCTCACTTCCACGTCGCCGTCGGCGCTGCGCTTCGTCCTCTGCGGGAGGCCAAGCACAAGACGTTGTTCATCGGGTCGGGAGGCTCTGTTCACAACCTTTACCGCAACGTCTGGGGCCCAATGCTCCGTTTCCGCGACAACTTCGCCCAGCCCACCCCGCCGGAGCCGTGGGCGCTTGATTTCCGCCAGGAAGTCATCGACACCTTTTGCCCAGCCTACGAGGAGGACGTGCCTGCGGACCAGGCGGTCTATGGTTGTGCCATCCGTGGCAAAAAGCCATGCGGCGGACCTATGCTGAGGCGCAAGGTGACGAGTTTAATGAAACATCCCAAGTTCCGCGAAGCCCACGCGACGGACGACCATTTCATGGCCACCATGTTCGTGGGGGGATTGTGCGGCGGCCGGGGGGACGCCAACATGAAAGCCGAGATGGGCGCCGAAGACTGGGAACTCACCAACATGTGCAACTCGCAGTTCACAATTGGAAGCTGGGTTGACGCAAAGTGAAGGACAGGCAGAGTGCGATTTCTTGGTATCAGATTTGATGTAGCATGCTATCTATCTTTCTATCCTTAGTAAAAAGGCCCTAATGTACAGCTCCGTTTCCCCCTCCCTTCCGGTCCTTTTGCGCCTATGCGTCCATGTAAACCACACACGACGCAAACCAGTAAGGACACCGTCGCAGCCGATACTGAATCGTCGTGTTCCATTACGAGAGATCCATATTGTCCCACTGAAAGTCATCGCCAGTATCGAGACCACTGAAGAGGTCATTATCCCCAAGGTCAAGACCACCCCCAGCGTTGGAAGGCCCACCCAAGCCCATTTCGCCAGCCATACCCAAGTCGAGGCTGACGTTATCTACGGACATGCCATCTCCGGTAACAACATTCGCAGTTGCAGCTGCCATGGCATCGTCGAGAGAGCCTGTGCCTCCATCTAAGCCCAGGCCAAGATCGTTTTGCAGCATGGTATCTGCTTGAATGGCTGCGGCCTGGGCGACGACCATCTGGGACTCCACCTTGCGATGTAGTCTCACCACGATCTCGGTCAGATTCATGTCTATCTTCTGCAGTCTTTTGCAGTTCTCGGCATCCGATTTCAGAACTTCCCGCATCGTCAGCTTCTTCTGGATAGGCGCCCGCATGTTTCCCGAGTTATCCATGAAGTTGAGGGCGTTTGCCCAAGGGCTGTCGTTCGCATCAGGGGCGCAAACCAGGTTCGCAGCCACGTCATAAACGATACTGCCACTCCCAGCTTCGCTATGTTGTCTAATGTCTTCATAAATGAGTTGTAGCAGTCGCTTCGCGCCGAGAATGTTGAGAGCTACGAGTATTTGACGGTGGGTATACGTGGGAGGCGGCCTATCAATGGCCGGATGTATGCTCCATTGCACGAGACTTTGCAAAGTTTGTCGAAGTGTGTTTGCAAAGCCTACGTTTTGATGGTTGTGCTGGTGTTGTTGGACACCTGACCAAGCTTCTAGTTCGACGTGGTCCGCCGCCCCTGTCCTTCGGGACATTGGGATGCTGTCTTTAATTGCCCTTAAAAGCGGCTCAATTTCTTGACTTTTGGGGTCTGATCGCTGATATGTCCTCAACGAATGCTCCAAAGGCTTTGCGACGATGTTCATGACAGAGGACAGCATGTCCGATGCCTCCTTTGAAATCGAAGTTGGCTCGAGGACAGACTTCAACACTCTGACGATGGCCTTCTGGCATTCGGGCCGCTCAATAAGCAGAGAATTGGAGAGGTACGTGATGGCTACAACCAGAGATGGGAGAAGAAATGTGTCGACGAGATCTGAAAGTTCAGTTAGCCACAGCATAAGGGGACCAGCCAGAGTCAATCTTACATTCGACTCCTCCTCTCAAGCTTTCCTCAGACAGATGACCAGTGCTGAAGGCAAGTACAATGTTTTGGAAAAGGGTTGAAACAAGGAGGTAAAAGTCTTGCGGTGGGCACGACGACATGAGCTCGTCTCCTAGCCCACCAGCTTCCGAGTCGAAAAGCCCATGAATCCAGCCGTCGAGATGACCCTTTTGCTGTTCTGATAGTTCATCAAACACTTGGCTCTGATGGCCTTGGCCGAGCAGTTTCGAGACGAAGGAGTCAGGAGACACGATCCCAAGATCAGATACAGATAAGTTATAGCGATATGCAAAGGCCATGACCAGAAGAAGAATGGACCCAAACTCCTCGTATACGGGCTGATACTCGCCTTGATCCTCATCATACTTCCAGTTTTCTAGAAGATCGCAGAGTGGATGAAGAATTGTGGCCGGTTTCTCAAAAAGCAGCATGACGTCCAGAGACAGTGGTCTTTGGGCCAGTTGACTGCAAAGGAGCTTGAGAGACATTGTCTCCTTATTTCTGCAAAGTTGTCCCAGAACCTGCGGGTATCAGAAAGACGTGATACAATCCACGCTGACTAGCAAAAAACATACCTCAGTCAATGCCTGGCAGACTGCGCCAGCGTTTCCATCTTTCCCATCGAGCTCTCCAATGAGGGCCTGCATGCGCTCAGGATCCGCGAGGCACTCTGCAACCAGGTTGTCCTTCACGTACCTTCCACCTGCTGGAAGATTTTGATAAGGTGTCTCCCCCAGAAGGCCCTCAATACTGCTCTCTCGCACTAGACCATGGAGACAGCACGCCCAGCAGAACTCTTCTCGGACGGAGTCGGTGAAAGGGTTGTTGCTCCTGGACTCATCAAACATAGATGAAAGTGTGGGAAAGGTATTTGTATCTACGCGACCCAGCGCTTCTGTGATGCAAAACTCCGCTGTCAGAGGAGGGTACATATGTTTGCTCAAGTTCTCAATAAGAAGAGGTAGCTTGTTCATGAGAAATGAACGGAGGAGTGGAGCGGCTGAGTTGCCTTCATTTCGAGAAACAGCATTGGCCAACACGTCGAACGAGGCTAATATGAGGTCAATAGTGGTTGTTTGTACGTCTCCCTAAGAATCGCAGCGTTAGCATTTGCGCATGATATAGTGCCATTTTGCATTACCTGATATCTGTTGTTCAGATAGTTGAAGATGGACATGTCGTCGATCAGTGGTCGTCCAACTAGCTACAACAAAGATCATTGTCAGCATCTTCACACTGTTCACAACGACCATGTACTAACCGCAGCATTCAGATATATATATAGGCCCGCTCTCGAGTTGACGATTGGCAGTTCGGAAATGACGAAGTTTTCAAGTGCTACAGAGGAATCAAAGAGGTCTTCTATCTCGACATTTGATGTGTTCTTTTGTTCATCATCAGGCTCAAACGCTGCTAGCGTGCTTGTACGAAACATATCCAGACGAGTTGCTATAGGCCCGGCGTTCTGCATGATCGTAGGCACGAAGTTGGCTAGACTCTCGGATAGGGCCTTCCTGGTGTCTTCATACTAGTCAATCGAATTCCTAAGGGGCAGAGATTCCGGCTATGCTTACTTTTTGCCTCGGGGCTTCCAAAAGCCTTCATTACTGTGTGATTTTCGCATACTCCAAGGAGCAAGGCTACAAAGGCAGCTCGCGCCGACTCCATTTCTTCCCTCGCCTGACTGTTTTGCAGCTGGCCCATGACGTCGACCGTGAAGGCTGTGGCGGCGTCGGTGAACAGAGCAATCCAACTGGCCATAATCTTGGCAATTGCAAGGCCAGTCTCTGTATTCGTTATCGCTGTACCTTGAGCTACAGATTTCGTAAGTCTATAGAACATAACTTCCTCTGCCGAGTACGAGCTCGCCCATCGCAGGGTCTGAGATGCAGGATTGCCGCCATTCGAAGCCTGCGCAGCTTCTCTAGAGTGCGCACGCGAAGTAGAGTACTTATATAGAGCCTCTAATATAGATGGCGTGTCGATGTAGTTGAGGTCAGACAGTACTTGGAGGAAGCGTGGGACTCGAGGATCGAGGCTCTCATGGTTGTGAGGCTGGGGCCGCAGGAACAGATCGGCAACGACGGAGGGAGGAAGCGGGTGTTTCGCCTGAAGGAAAGGGACATATGATTCGAATTTGTCGGGATCCAGACGAGTTGCAAGACTCTTGGCAATGAACTCGTTCCACTGCCTCAGCGCGGCGCGCTGGACGCCTCGGATTACGCGACCGTCCATCGTGCAACTCGACTGTCGCTAGGTGCCGGGCGCATCAAGTGCTGCTGGTTGGCGTCGCCTCGAATGCGCGAATACGCATGCTACGGAGCTCGCGTTGAGGCCTGTCGTGGGTGGTAGAAGAATTAGAAGCGGTTTCAGCGATGAGGCAGGGCTGAGCGCAAACATGTACCTGGGGATGGCCAATGTTGGTGTACCTGTGATGCGTAGGCAGTAGGAGTGGTAGCCGTGCACCTTTTTGCGGGATCCCGAGGTTGGGTTCAATGAGGACGGCGCTTCAGTGGCGGGGCGTCAGCAAGCCCACCCCTGCACCTCAAATCGCAGCACATTCCTCCAGGTGGGTTTATGCATAGTTCAGCAATGACAACCATCATATGTTCGTCGCATTTCAGGATGCATCTATCGCCGTTTCGCGCCAAGTTGTGAACCTATTTACTATGCACCGCCTAGGAAGATTTCCCTGTCAAAATCACCAGTCACTTTGCATCACCAGAGGGGTCACTAGGAACGCATGTAATGTGCACAGTACTGCTTTCACTGTCGGTTGAATTGACATTGATTCCGCTGTGCGGATTGCTTGCTACGAACGCTATGAGCCAGATGCCACTTGGCCCCGGCAGCAAGTCGTGCAGCCCAAACTCCTCGTCCCGAGTTGAGATGCACTGGCACCATTCAACCCGTCTCTTGTACCGCCGTCCATCCGCGGTCGTCGCCGCTGGCGTCGTGGCCAAGTCCCGCGTGGTGTACAAGTCCGCCTCAATGGCCACATGTGGCGCTGTGGGCCAGTCAGACTCCGGCCTGGAGCTTTAAGCTATCAGGTCTGTCACCCATGTCTGCTGGGCCTCGTCCTTCGGCCCATATCCGCGTTCTTCTCTCCTCCTCTCGCCTTCTTCCTCTCTCTCTCAGGCTGGAGCTTTGAAGCTACCAAAGGGCCTGTCATCTCTCAACTGGGAACGTCTTCCAATCATTTCCATCAAGCCATATTAGAGAACGCCGATTGCAGGTGTGTTGTGTGTAGGTGGGGGAAAAGGTGTTTGACTGCCAGTCCAGCAACAAATGTAATGCGCCGCTGGCAGAAAGGGGTGTGGGTGAGTGACAGATAGTGCTGGGGGCTGGGGGGTGTGGGGTGCTGATTTGGGTCGAATCCAATGGCAAGTTGCTGAAGCAGCAAAAGCACGTCGGGTTGCGCTAACAATCTGGAGTTTTACATGTCCATCGAATCGCCGCCGTTAGCGAAGCTGAAGCCGCCTTGTTGGGGAGCAGCGTTGGCGCCGAAACCGAACGTGCCGTTAGGACCGGCCGTCTGAGCCATGCCCTCGTCCGCATTCTCCTCCTCGTCCGAAAAGTACTTCTCAATAATGTTGTAGGCCTTCATGTAGATTTCTTCGTTGGCGTTGGTCTGGCACTCGTGAATCTTCTCCATGCCACCACACTCCTCGATGAACAAGGCGTAACGGTTGATCGAGTCAGGGCCTTCACCAGCAGCCTGCTTGTCGAGGTCGCCGACCTTAAGAATGTTCTCCAATCCATCCAAAGCGACTTGAATGATCTTGTTGTCAGGGCAGGCGAGAAGGTCGCACAACGGCTTGATGCAGCCCTGAGAAACCAAGTATCTGATCTGCTCCGGCTTCTGCAGACCACCCGATGTCGCGTTGCTGATCGCCCAGCATGCTTCCTTGCGTGTCTTCAAGTCACCGTTAGACAACAGGTGAATAAGAGGCGGAATGATGTTGGCATCGATAACCGACTGAATCTGAGCGGAGTTACCGGCGGTGATGTTGGAAATCGTCCAGCAGGCCTCCTTGCGGATACCATCCTTGTTGGAGCTAAGCAACGAGAGGAGGCACGGCAGGGCACCGCAATTGATGATCACTTGCGTCTGGACGTCGTCACCGGTGACAATGTTGCCCACGGAACGGAGAGCGGGCGTCTGTACGGAGGTAGAAGCGTGCATCAGAAGCTCAACCAGTCGACGAGGAATGCCTGCTTCGATGACAGCCTGAATCTTGTCGTTGGACCCATCGGAGAGGTAGGAAATAGCCCAACAGGCATCGATGAGAACCTCGTCGTCAAGGGAGTAGACGAGCTTAGAAAGAACAGGCAGGGCGGGAGCAATCTGGGAGTTAAGTCAGCAAAACAACGGGGCGGGAGGATAAGTGCTAGGCTACGTACGGTGTTCCAATCGGGCTGAGGAGTCTTGCCACGGCAAAAGTTGCTCAGAGTCCAAGTGGCGTTGCGCAACATGCTAAGCTTACGGCTATCGCCGAGCAGAGCCAGCAGAGGCTTCAACGCGCCACAGCTAAGGACATAGTCGCGGCAGTGAGGACTGTCGCCGGCAATGTTGCCGAGAGCCCAAACGGCCTGTTCCCGTACATCCGGCTCAGGGCTGGCCAACAGCTCAACGAAGATGGGGACCGCACCAGCCTCAATAACGACCTGGGTTTGCGTGGCAGAGCCGGAAGCAATGTTGGTCAAGGCCCAGGCAGCCTCGAACTGAACCAGGGTGTGGGGGGAGCGCAAGAACTCGACGAAACGGCTAACGACACCAGTCTTGATAACTTCCTCGATCGGGGGGTTGCGCTCCTTGGACAGCAACTTTCGGAACTTTGTCGTTGCTTGGATCTGGAGATCGATCTGGTCGGAGAAGACACCGTTGACCATCTGAGGAAGGTCCTCGTTCAACTGCAAACAGTTAGCATCTTGTTCTCGGTGACTAGTAGCAACGTTTCTGATGTGTGCGAGTTGATGAATGCAAGTCGTCGCGAACCTCACGCAAGGCGTCTTCAGGTCTAGTGGGAGAGGACCGTCCCGACTCGCGCAAAGGTGAAGTGGGGCACAGGCAAGGCGCCCTGGCAACAGAGGGGGAAAATAAGACGAAGGGTGCGGCAGTATTGGTGGGGTTCAAACAAAGAAGACGACGACAGCGACGACACCATCGCAAAAAGGCGAGGAAAGAAATCAAGACTGACCTGGGACTCTGTGGGAGCGGTATCATCGTCGCTGTCTGGAGCAGCTCCGAGGGAAGCGCCGGGCCTGTTCTCGCCCGTTCCGATACCACGGCGCTTGGCCAAGTTCTCCTCTCTCTTCGCCTTGCGAATCTCGACCTGCTGCTCCTCTCTGCGGCGACGGAGCTCCTCAGGCTTGAAGGTGCTCTTCGCCTTGAAATTGGTGCGGCGATGCTCGGGGATGTACCGATCAGCCATGGTGGTTGTTAAGATGGATGCTGATTCTGGTAGTGATTGTTTTTGGGCCGCCCGTCAGGAGGGGGGGAAGGTAGCGTCTGACTGCTTTGAGCAGGCGAAAGGAAGAAACCGTCTCTATTGACAGATGCTGACTTGGTTGTCTGGCGCAGGGAGGCTCTCTCGTGTGTAAACACTGGAAATGCCGAGTTCGGTGTCAGAACGCGGGAAGAAAAGATGTTGCAGATGGAGGGGTGGGAAATTTATGCCACTGATGATGGGGGGAAGGAGAAGTCGGGGAGGATGAAGCGAGAGAGCGGGTCGACGAAAGAAAAGTGCAGGGCCTTTCGCCAAATCCAGGCAAGCCCGCTAAGGCTGTGTACGTACACTGGACATGTGGCATGCTTGAGGGTGAGAGCTTACCTAAGGTACCCGGTACGGCTTCTGAGGCCGCAAGCGAACACTGAACTCTGAGTTTTTTTCCTCTCTTTCTTTCCTCCTGTTAGGTGGGCAGGCACACTGTGCAATGGCGGGCTTTGGCTCTCCAGATGCTTCTCATTAGCTGAGTCAGGGGAGGCAGTTTAATTGGATAGGTAGTAAGACGAGTAGCTCTGTAAGAGATTGTGACCCCACAATGGCGCTGCCTCTCTTTGCTTAGCCTGGTTTCCTAGGCGATTATGTCATGAAATGCTAGGCAGGTACTTCTTTCCACATCACCTCTGGAGGTCGATGACGGATTTACCTCCCCAGACTGAGTAAGACGCTGAGGACGGTAGGTTGGCTTCTAGGCCTCAAAGGTGCCCGTTGTCTACATCTATGCACTAATTATTTCTCAAGATAATGATTGAAAGCTTTGCCCTTCAAGATTCCGCGTGCCTTGATGCGTCTGCTTTATCTTTGCATTTGACACTTGTCCGTTGTTCCATATCTGTTCTGGAAGAGACCTACTTCAAAGCGAAGGAAAAGACATGAGTGTACCTGCAGCCCTACTCTGTGCTGCTTCCAAATGTTCTGCTGCCTGGCATACGTTGGACGTGGAGATGGAAGCACTACCAAGAGTGCAAGTCGAACTTTTGGGTAGTTCCATTGTTTCCATTCCACCCACGCACAGGCCAGGCTGGGTGGCTGTGGCAAAGCGAGTAAGTGCACCTTCCACCAGCGAAGCACATGGTCTCGCGAAGTGACATCCGATTTGGTGGGGTACCTCAGCGCGTCTCACAGGCCCTCAAGCCACCGACACGCGTCTAGAGGAAGTCAACGACCGAACCACTACACAAAACACCATTCTGGTCCTTGCAAGAGGCGTTTGTCGTCGACGACGACGGCGATACTGAGTTACCGCCAATAATCAACCCTTCTTTTTGAACGATTCTGTCTCCTTCATGTTCCCTACCTCACCTGTCTAGAATAGCCAACATGGCCGAGACAAGTGCCGACATAGGCCTTCCTAAGGGCTTCACTGCGCTGGCAGATTTCATGGAGGAAGGACAAATCAAGCCTTGGACTTTCGTCGACGTGATCGGTGTCGTCAAAGACTTTCGGGCCCCAATGGAAACAAGACATGAGGGTATGTTTTCGACCTATTTCTAAGTCAAACTACTTTGGGCAGCCTGACACGAAATCAGATATGAAGTGCGTGCTTCGCCTGATTGATATTTCGATCCAGGACCAGGTGACTTGGGACGTAGAGTTGAATATTTTCCGCATACAAGAAAAAGACATGCCTAAATGCGGTCCTGGAGATATTGTTGTTGTCCACCAAGCCAAGGTGCGTGCGTCCACCCGAGGTTCTGTATTCGTGTTGGCTAACATTGATTCCCAGGT